TTTGGACAAAAACGCGTATAAATTATAAGTTTATATTTGAATTTAATCCAAGAAACAGTTTAGATTATCGAGAATTCTTAGAGGTAACCTTGTAATCTCGGTTTTTTTGACCCGATGCTTGGGCTTCGGAACTTAGTAACAAAGTTTCCTTTTATTTTTATTTTTCCTGAAGATTCCAGCCCTGATGTTCTTGTTGCTAGCAGGCACAGTGGCATTAGAAAGTTCGATGTCTTTGAACCCTGTCAGCGTCTACTATCCACATATATTAGGTGCAATCTTTTTGTCTATAACTTTTCTCCCTTTTAATATATTCTACTATGATGCCAGAAGATGGTTGATGGACGCTTTGGTAAGTTAATGCTAAAGTGAATGCCATGGCTTTTTTAATTTGATTAAAATTTCCTGTCATTATCACATTAGAAACGTATTGTACTGGCTCCACTCTTTCGTATCGAATTTCGTGATTTCTTTGTTGCAGATGGATTGAACAGTTTAACGTTTTCAATGGTTAACTCACAATTACTTTGGAGACCGTTTCTACACAATATCGGGTGTTTTGGTGACAGTAAGTTAAATTTATTTTTAATGCAGTCTATAGTAAATTGCTTATTAATTTCTAATGGGTTATACAACAATTCTAGATTGTGTGTCGACCTCACAATTCATTTACACTCCGTTGATAGCAATGTTACCCCCATTGTGGCGACTTCTTCAATGCTTTAGGCGTTACCATGATACAGGTCGAGCGTACATTCACCTGGTGAACGCGGGAAAATATTTTTCGACAATCATATTGGTTTATCTGTCATTTCTTTGGCATATAAATGGTGTGCATCTCTATTCTAATGACTTTTGAATAATGATGGCATAAATGTTAAACTTTCTATTTCAAACGTCTTCTATATAAAACAGAAAAGTCAATCGGGTTATTTGCATCATTTATAGGGATTCAAATAATCACTTCGGTATATACATTCTTATGGGATGTCTGTATGGATTGGTCATTGTTTATGTTGAATAGTCCGAATTTCTTGTTGCGTGATGAATTAGCTTTCAAACACCATTCGTTCTATTATTTCGCGATAATTTTAAATCTATTTCTCCGATTCAGCTGGATCTTAAATCTCACGTTGCCTGTCGAATATACAGATAAAATAACAATGGCTTATATCATTGCCTTCGGAGAAATATTTCGGTAAGTAAAATGGTGTCCATGCACGAAAATATGATTATTTGCTAATCTCCTTTGACTTTGTTTGCTAATAAGTCGGTGGCAATGGATTATTATTCGAGTGGAAAACGAAGTATGTTTCCTCAATCAGCATATA